CTACAAATGTGGTGCAGATGGCACATTTCCTCATTTATACTCTACTGGGTAATACACTTGTTTCAATAAGAATCATACACCAGAGCTTTTCCTCTTATTTTCTTTACTGCCAGATGAAGGGGTTTTTTCTCTTCCCATACCAATTGGCTTATTTACCTAAGACATCATGACACTTTATTCCATCATAACATGGCACTGTTCCCTCAAAGTGAGATCAGTCATTAGATGTATCATTCTGAAACGTGAATATTAATGCCCAAAAGAGATGAACCGTAAGCATCACAGATGGACAAGAAGGGATTAGACACAAATTGGTAACAGGATTGATAACAATTCACAAGTGTGTCAGGCACAGTGACACATTGCCTTGATCGACAAGAACTACTATTCACAAATTGGACTTCCACAAGCACCTGCAATTCTCTCACCAATCAAGAATCATAATAAACATTTTAAGACTGATGCTTTTGTTAATGGCATCAGCCTGGTGCCAAGCACAAGTCAATAGGAGAACCATTTTCGAGGAATGGAAAAGTTGAAGGAAATGCAGAAGGTGTACTGGATGAATGCTGCAGCAGTCAACCACTTAGACTTAAGAGAAAAGAGGAGGTTACGATCCAAGAGAGAATTTTAGGACAGTAAAATACAATGGGTTGTATTTAAGGAATGAATGCAGAACTTCACCAGACAGTTCACAATAAACGTACGTGATCAGGTATTTTTAAATAAATTAATGGCATGCTCAGAGAAAAATTAAAACACCCCACACATGGATACTTTTTGTCTCAATGACTGCAAAAAGTCTTTTACCCAAGACTGCAAATAATGGCGAAATGTATCAATCCCACCTATTCTCCTTCTCTTCTCCAGTTAATCCGAGTTTACCAAAACCAACTGCCTAATGACATTGTCGTGTGATTTTACAGCTACTTGTGTTCATGCTGTGCAAAGGACACATGCAGTTGCTCTTCATCACATGTTTAAAAAACCCTGAACTGAGTACAATTTAAGAGTTGCTTCTCAGAATTTCTTCTGCTAAAGATAGGTACACATGGTATTTGACTGAAACAGTCAAAATAGATCTAAGTTACAAAATATTAGCACCAGCAGAGCACCAGCTTAACACTGCTTTATTCCTTTCACTACACAAGCTAAACCAGGTACTTCTGCCTAATATATTCTGTGCCTGGCAAACTTCCTGCAAGACTAAACTGAGTACTTTTCACTCTAAAGGATGCCAGCTGAAATTAATTAAAAAAAAAAAAAGTGACCCAAAGTCTTCCTCCTTTTTGATTAATGCTAATTTTATTTTTCATTTACTTGTTCACCTAGCACAGGAATTCACATTTTCATTCACTTTGTTTGTATTGTTTATATGTGTTTTTATGAGATGCACATCTCTGCCATCCCATTCTAAGCCAGGCCTGGCTCCAGCATGGCAGTTGAGGCACACAGACCTAAGTACAACCTTCTGAACCAGGTTCTGAACATTCCAGCTTCTTCTTTTTAACTTGAATTCCATAAGTAGTTTTAGATGGGTGAACTGTGTCATGAAAACGAGAGTCTCTTTATTCATTGATTTTTAAAAGCTATATAATTTTTGCCCTGCCTCTAATTGCTTTGTATTAAATATTCACTAGAAATACGTGGGAAATTTGCACATCTTCATAGTAACAATTCTTTTTGTTTTGTTTTTTCAAAATGAGACAGTGCAACCTGACTTGGTCACGGTGGCTCCAATCCTTCTCCTCATGAATCTCCTCTCACACAACACTTCTCCTGACTGTGCCTCTCACCCCACCAAATGACTTGGAAGTAAAGCTCTCCAGGAAAAGAACTGGTTCTTCTCCTCTCCTACACAGGCAACTTGAGAGAAAAGAAGAAGGTGAAGAATGGAAGCTTTCAATAGCAACTCAGCCAAGACAGATGATAAAACCTGCATGCTACCCTGAGGAAACAGGGTGCAAAGTTCAGTCCTATGTTTGTATTTCTAAAAAGCGTAAAATATCAAATATCCTTCTTGAAGAATAATTTTCTCTCTAGTCTCTTACCACATTGCTGTGTAACTATACAATAAATATTATCCTGCTCACATGCTTCTGTTTACTTAGCATACATTACATTTGATGCTATCTGGCAGCATAAGTTTTAGTTCTGTCATCTTAAAATACTAATAGTTGTCAATCAAAATAGAAAGTGCATAATAAAAATGTTCTAGAAACTAATAACCCTATATTTCTACACCCTCAGCTTGGAGCTAAGCATTTCTAAAAATGAGATTAATTATATGTTTGTAGAGGGTCCAATACAATCAGACAGTCCTCTAAACAACATCCTCCTAGAAATGAACACAGAGCAGATACATAATCTTATATATAGTGTGTGTTTATATTATGCAATATATGCAACACTAAATTCAGAGCATCATCTTTATTTGGCCCAGTCTTTTGATCTATAAGAGAGTTTTTGGGGGTGAAAAAACCCACACAATCTGCCCAGTGACAGTGTTAGGTACAGGATGAGAGAAAATGGCATGGTAAATATCAAAGTAATTTACGAAGACTTTTTGCAAATATTTAGAAGCCTGGAAGCACCAAGGAGATACACACAGGACAGGACCCTGAAATTATGACCAACGTAACATGGTAAACTGTTCAATTTAAGATGGAGTGTCAGAAAAATATCCTTTGAATTATATCTGTCAAACTTTAGTTGGAACTTCACTGCTTGGGACATTTAAACCTGCTCTGGACAAAGTGTTAGCAAGTACCCTGTAGGGAACAATCCTGTAATGTCAAGAAGATGGACTAGATGTATAACAGGTCTTTTGCTGCTCCATTTTTTATTATTCTAATCCATCACCCTTACCGAGGTGAAGTTTTATGTAGACCTTTAAAATATGACCATTTGAAAATTATGTCTGTGTCTGTATAATATATACACACATACGGGTGTAAAGTTTGGTTTTTAAAAACTCTAAGTACAAAAACATATTTGCACCTAATTTGCCCATGCTACAGCTATAACTATGCATTAATCTGGCAAATGCAGATAGAAAGTTCTAATTATGGTTATGGGAATACACAATTTACAGACATGATTGTCACATGAATTTGCAACTTAGGCATGCAGGAACTGAAATATGTGTACTGTGGACGACACAGTAGTATTGGACTGCGACATGGTTATGCCACAGAACCAGGATCAGACCATGAGCTTTGCCCCAAAATAGAGAATCAGAAATCTTGTAGGGTAGTTGACATTGATGCTTGCAGAAGTAATTAAGGAGAAGTTCCACAAAGAGCTCTAAACAAAATACTTCTATCAGGGATTCTTCAGGAAAAAGTTAAAGGCTCTATTTTGCTCCCTTCTTCCCAAGACACTGTGGTCTTTCTGATATTTCTTTGCTCCCCTGTTTTGCAGAGAAGCTACAACTCCCCATCGCTCTTCCTAAAACCTAAAATCCCCTGAGGACTTTGTACTGACAAACTACCGACAGTAAGAGTCACTCAGAGCAATGGCTGCAGGAAGCACCTCTGTTCCCCAGGCACGGGGTGGCAGAACTCAATGAACAAGCACAGTGAGGAAGAACAGGAGGTTAAAGGCCTCCCTTTGTCCATTATTGTCATTTCTGTTATTCCAGACTGGAAATCCTGTCATTGACTGAGGCACTAGGCAATCACCCCTGTATGACTGTCATCATCTACACACTTCAGTAGGAGAGAAAAGCAGTAAGAGAGTATGGAGAAGGAAAAGGTGTTTTCCTTTTAATCTTTTAGACTGCAATAGCCATAATTGGCTTTACTGTATAGTTTGGCTCTAGTTTATCATAGTATTACAGTGAGAAACATTGGCCTGCACTGATTTTTACACACAAATCTTAATGACTTCAATTGCTGCTAAGGATTCAGAATGGTGGCAGGATATGGTCATTCACCATAAAGACCCTAAAGCCTTCATAATTACTGAGTATACAGAATATTTATTATAGAGACTATGCCAGGCCTCTTTTGTGAGCTGCCCTGGGCCTGTTCTCTGAGCCACATCAAGCAAGAAGTTTAAATGAAACTGCTCCCAAGTTTCTGAAATGGTTTAATAAAACATATACTGACTGTAATATTCAGTTTATAGTAGAAAACTATTGCCCCTTGGTTTGAAAAATGACCTCTAGTTGGCAATTTTACTCTCAGCTTCATAGATTATAGTCCGCTGTTGGTCATTTTCTCAATCCACAGGGCAATACTTTTCCATAACAAGCTCAAACTGCAATCAGTATTTGTAGGCTGTTACACAAGTTGAGGATAATATGTCTCAACACATTCTATTATATGACTAAACAAAAGAAATAACAACCTGGTGACACAGACATATGGAGAAAAGCAGAGCTATTCTTCTAATGCTGAGATAGCAGAAAAACATATTTCTTTGTATTGTGTTAATTTGTATTAAATTTCATGTCTTCAATACACAATAATCTCTAATTTGATTTTTTCGTTAATAGTGTTTTGGTTTATGTTGTCTTATGTCTATTCTTATTTTAATGTAAAATGACAAATACTAAATTCTATTAGTATCAGATTTTAGAAATGACAAATAGTGACAGATAACCTAACATTGTAAAATCACATTAAAATGTATTCACACAGATATGTAAAAGATCGTTTGCTCTTGGGCTCACAAAACACACATTCATAAACTTATGAGTTTGATATTAGGAAGTTCCTATATAGTGTAGTAGATGAGTTGCAAGTGATTGCTTCAGCACCCAGTTCTAGTACATAAATACAACTGAAACACCACATTTTGGAAAAACAGTTCCCATGTTAGATAATCAAACAGATAAATTCTGTTGAGAAGAAGCCTCAGACCAGGAAGTGAGGGATATCTGGAGCCTGTTCCAAGATGTGCCCTGCATAGCTCTTCCCGTGACCAGTGTTCAGAAAATCATCCCCCCTTCCCATACCACAGCTGCTCTGACCTGCAGGACTAACAGAACCTACCTGGTTGGCTGGAGTGTGGCGAGGTTTAATTCTTTAATCGATGGAAGATGAAAGTTCTTGTAGATCCTCCTCTGTAAATGCAAAATATTTATAATTACAAGCCTAATATTCATCCCCATTTAAAATAAAACTCTGAGTTTAAAATGTGACACCCACCCACACTCAGAGACAAAGGGAACAACCTCCTAAGCTGAGGCCAGAGCAGTCAAGCAAAAAGGGGCATTTTGACACCCATCCTCTAGAAATTACGAGTTTTCTGTCCTTTAAACAAATACACCAGATTTACTGGAGATCTATGATGGGGCAGAAGGGAGAATCTTGGCTAAAACCTATAATAAGATCCATAACACAGAAAGGTTCATTGCAGATCTGTACAGGTGGCTTCAGAAACTATAAGCACCCATATTGTGGCATTTTAGGATATTAAAGGGACAGATAATGCTTTCTTCTTCATTTTCCACTACTGTTCCTATATTGTTGTTCCATCACAGCTTCCTCTGTATTCTCTAGCTGGAATTTAAGTGGTCTAGATTAATTTAAACATGTAGGAACTACATCCAGAATCTTTAAAATATTTGAGCTAAGAATGTATTTGAATGATTACCAGACAATGATGGTTCTTTATCTTACAAGTCTTCAAGAAATTCAGATGTTTAACTCATTAATAGTGTTTGCTGCATTAGATTTTAGATTTTTATGATTTTAGAAGAAAGATTTTCTAATACAGAAAAAAATCCCCACCAGCTTTCTTTGCTTTCCCCAACATTTTTCATTTTAGGGTAATAAAAGTGACACATATGTGCCATAATGTAATGGATTAATTAAGGAATATGATGTTTATCCTCGGTCCTGAGTTGTACATCTTCATAACTCACTCATAAAAATTAATGTATTATACCACGCTCCAGAATGATATATCTATTTTTACCATACCTGTTGAGAATAAATTGTTCTAAATTGGATTATCCTGATATCCAGTGAAAAATGTAAAAATTACATTGTTATTTTAAGAATTTACGTTGTGTATAAGAAAGCATAATCTTCTCACTGTGCTTTTGAACTGTCATGTTATTCACTGTTACAAAATCATAATTGCTGCTGCCACACCTAAAATCAAATGCAGTGCATACTGTATTTCTTCATTCACTCTGCATTTTCTATCTTAATCACAAAACCATATACAGTATATTTTTGGTCTATTCTTTCATTACTGACTGCTTCTGTATATAAGTAACACAGAACTATGCATGCAAGGACTCATAAAACCCTCATTTCTAAAATCAACAGATGAAAAATCCCTAAATAATAACGTACAGATGTTTCATATTTAAATGAGCTACTGGCATGTAATGCTGCCAATCACGCCAATACATGCAGTAAAATTGGTGAATTTCAAGGTACTCAGCATCTACAACATATTTTTATTTCTTTTAAATCAAAAGATCATTTGGGGATAATGGAAATGGAACTCTTCAATAAATATATAATGATATATTTCTGATGTTCTCTTGAAATTCCTATGACTGGTCAACTACACTGTATTATTCTATACAAACTCCTATTCCTTTTACCTCAAGAAAGTTGATTTTGCTGTCCTTAAACTGCAATATCTCACTAAAAGTAAATTATCTGCATGTTATCTGCAGAGTAATCCTCTTCTTGAATACAAGACAGAACATCAGAGTTTCTAATCCTTCACAGATAGAGTAATTCACATCCACTGTACGTTTTACTGTAAAGACAGAGTAATACAATATGTTTGATAAATCATGTATGTGTCTGTGTACAAAGAAAAAGGTTTATCTCCTCTCCTACAAGATGCATCCCTATTAAAGCACGCACGCACTCCCCATGCTGGCACTGCAACAATCTTTAGAAGTTCTATAATAGAGACATCTAAGTTTAAAAAATGAAGCAGCTCACAGGTCAAACAAGTTCCTGATGAGAAGTGCTTAACCAGAAATATTATTCCGCTGATTGTAAGTTTTCATCCATACATCAAACCCCGGAGTCTATTGATTAAATAAAACTGATCTTTTTCTATTTCAAAGCAAAAGAGAATTAAATCATCCCCATTGTTTTCCCTTTGTTTGGAGCTATCATGTTGTGCACACTAGCCATGAGTCCTGCTTATAATTACAACATCCTTTAGGAGAGCTTATTCTGCAATGACTGATCACAGGTTTTTTGCCTCTTCCTCTAAATTTTCTGCTCCTGGTCATAATCAATGGCACTTGATGGCCCAATATTCTGATCCAATGTGGCAAGCGATATGATCCAAGATCTGCTTAGAATCAATAAATTCATTCGCTCCAGGAAATTTTGGATCAGAACAACTTTAAGTATATGTAAATACAAGAATTTACTGCAATTATGCTGGCACATCTTCCTTTCCTCATACCTCTTTTCTACTGCATAATTAACTGCGTCATGCCTTAATTTTGCTTGCAATCCTACATAAAGGAATCCAGGCCAGACAGCCCTTGCAAGCCTTACCAAAGTCAAGGTCTGCTGGCTTAGAGAACAGAGGGTCTCTTCCAGCAAAACACATCAAAACACTGCAAATCTGTGTATTGCTGAGCCCCACGTGGCATTGCCTGGGCTCTGAAGATACCATCGAATGCTGACATAGCACGAACATTTAACAGACTGCTTTGAAGGGCACCAACAGGTGGATACAAAACTCTTCTTGGAGTTTAGTTTTGTCTTTCCTTTTCCTTTGTGCAAAAATGTCCAGGTACACTTAATAGCTCCTCTGGGCTACTGTTGTGTCCAAGCCAGCCTTCAGCCTGGTCCCAGTCTACCTGTGCAGTGCAATCATGCTCTGACACTCAGCTCATAATGTAAAGTGGCCAGAAAACCCTGCACCAGGGATGTGGTTTCCATTCTGGAATGTAATCACTGCTAGGCTAAAATGGCAGCATCCAAGTTCACTTATGTGTTTCACATAAAGGGGGGGGGGGGGGGGGGTGAAAGGTGAAAGGACACATGGTAAACTCAATTCTGCTACTGTATATACACATCACTTAGTAAATTGTACAAAGTATTCTGAATATTTTTTTAAAGGCGAGGAATTTTAATGTATTTTGAATCTTCTTTAAATTAGCATGACAGACTAGGGTAAACGTAAAAACAGTGATAAAATATATTTTTTTAAAAAAGAAATTTATTCCCTGTTAGTTATTTCATTGTAAGGGAGTTACAGAACTGCAGAATGATGAGTAAATACAGACCTCTGTACAAGTTAAGAGGGCTGCAGCTTGGGCACGTCCTTCAGCCTCTTAGTCTTTTTCCACTGGAAATCAGTAGTTCAGCACCAGCAGAGCAGAGCAGAGAACCTTGTTTCTGCCAAGTAGCACTAATTTCTGCCCATAGTGACATTCAGAAGAGGATGAATCAAGTCACAGGGGTAAGAAAACTCTCTGCTTGTGATGTGGCTGTCATCAGTGAAGATGAGTTTGTAACACCCTCCAAGCATCAAAACGACACACAAAAGAAACATTAAAAAAAAAAATAAATTCAACAGATAGTCTTGCAAAATATATCAATGCAGTTCTCCAAACTGAAAAAGCAGAAGTCAGAAGATCAAGAACTCACAGTTAGGATTTTCCTACTAGCTAAAGAACATAAGGATTCTCCTGAAGTCTTTGATTGATATATGATCTTTTCTTTCTTTTCAGGCAGAACAGCTGTCCAGTGAACTAGAAGAAACAGCCCTGAAGACAGCTTTGTGTATGATATGACTTTGAGAGGGAAAATCATCCCAATGCTTTACATGAAACATCTAATAAAATAAAACTAAAAAGTATCCCCCATGAAAGATTTTTTCTTTCAATTTGAGAGAGTCATCCCTGTTATCATCTGGGGTGGGGGTTTTGCAGTGTCTGAGACCAAAGAGAAAAGGTATGTCCCTCAAAACTGGATTTTGAATGAACCTAACTAGAAAGATGCAATAAGTATTTTTAATAGAAGGGCAACTGGGCAAATGGAGAGAGAAAAAGAGAATTTTCTGGAGATTGTCAGGACACAGTGACCTGGGGTATATTGTAACTCCATTCTCTTTTGTAATATAATTCTTTAAGAAAGGTGAAACACTCATATCTGCCACAGTAACCATATGCATAAATAGCTTTACTATGTTCAAAAAAACCCAAAGCAAAAATAACCAACAACACAAACCTTCTCAGCAGAAGCACCTGGTACAAATTTGTGTAAATTTATTCAACCTAATGGAATTATGTAAATTACACAAATGGAGGCCTACAGCCACTGTGATAATTCACTGAAGTTATATCCAGATTAGAGAAAAGATGGCATGAAATGGAGCCTTTTGGAGCTTGCTCTAGAGCTGCGTTTTGGCAGCATGGTGAGAATGAACAGCCTTAGAGAATGAACAGCCACAATGCTCAGGTGAAATCTGTACCTCTTTCTCATTTTAAAACACATCTCATTGTGACACTTAATTGTGTGGATGAGCACTGATGGATGCTGTCATACATGGACAGGAAAAGGAGAAGTAATTACAACTGTACTTTCCTTGGAGTAACAAAATCCAATGTGACACCAACAGAGGAAAGCAGGACATCAATGGTTCAACTACCTGCCCTTCAAAGCCTTGTCGAATTTGCCACATAGGCTATGTTCTTCATTGATTTGGACAAGACCAAACAAGGGCCCCTACACATCTGATACAGGATAGGATAGTTCTTGGTTTAGAAACACCTCACAAAAGAGCATGATAACCTTCCACCCATCCTATCTTAGTGGCACCTGAATCCTTAAACTAAACCTCCTTGCTCACCCTGCCCAAAACTCTTCATCTTTCAATACAATGGATCTGTCCTCAGCACTCTTCCAACTTTCACTCCTCTCCAAAACCAGCCCTTCTTTCTTCACCAAAGCCTTCCTGAACAGGTCCCTGTGAGTGTACTTACTGCAGAAGCTAATTACAGTTAAAGGAGATCTTTAGCACTGAGAAACCAGAGAGACAGGCACACATCTCATACGTTTGCACAGCTAGAAATAATTTCTCTCCCTTCCCTTGAATAACTTGAATGCCCTTCCTTCCCTA